AGTAAAGCAAGAGTGTAGCGTGATTGTTAGATGGCGTGATTTTACGTCAGATTTTACTGACTGCAGGGTTAAACTGTGAAATCGTGAAGAACGGCCGTACGACATTCACGACACTAGGACAGATTGGTTTTTCTTGCTGGGAACTAATTTTCAAAAAGTGTTATGAACAGAAAAAAAGGATGATTTATTGTCTTGTAACATGTGACTATACGCGCGCGTTATCCTCGCGTGTACCGGTATAAAATGATTACAACAATCCCCGGGATTGATTGCCCAAAGGTAAATCAACCATAAAAGTTCTGAAGCAAATGATAAATGTCCAAAGTTCAACGCAACTGACAAAAGTGACCCACGAAACTCCTCAAAATTCAAGTTCAGTGTTCGTAAGTGTCCTCAAGTGTCGCTCTTCGATATGATCAACTGAACATATTTTTGTAATCTCCTCGTCGATTCCCGCAAGTAAATTTAGCTTTTCATTCCAAAATTTGCTCAACAACTTTCAAACGGCTCCACATGATATCTTCTAAATCGGTGTGTTCGAGAATAGTTCTCGCTTCGTTTATGTTTTTTGTTACGACGGTTCGATGTCCTCCACGTTTTGCCCGCTGGCTATCCAACTTTTTCTTTTCTTCTTCCATGATAACTAATGAAACGACTCAATGCAATGATGACAAATGAAAACGACTCAAACGAATGCAAACCTCTGCCCCGCGTTGGGCGCCATGTTAGGAACAGAAAAATGGATGATTTATTGTCTTGTAACATGTGACTATACGTGCGCGTTATCCTCGCGTGTACCGGTATAAAATGATTACAACAAAAAGTACCCAGTACCCAGCATTGATAATATTTTCGTTCTTGTTAAGTACGTGCAGTCACTAATACAGATTTTCAAACAGTACTACTGTATCAAACCAATTCATTGTATACCGTTTTGTTTCTGAATTGAAGAAGCGATTTGTAATTGAACAGACATTTGCGCTGTATTATTGTGTAGTAAATTTTACTCGGAGTATATTTAATACTCTGGAGTAAATTTTTGCGGGAAAAATGCTTTCGTTAATTTTTTTTGGGGAAATTATTTTTGGGGATCGCTGGAAAAATCACAAAAATCGTAAAACTTAGAACCCGCAAAAATTTCGTGCCACACGGTATCTCTAGTATATGTGAACTTTTTTGGTTTTGTTGAGAGATGTCTCTATATTTGAGGAAAACAATAAAAAAAACTCGTCCTATTCGTAGGAAAAAAGCTTCAGCGTATCTGAAATTTCTTTAATCGCGTGCAATACCATTGAGCTGTAGTTAGAGCGGCGCACAGAGTAGCCTGCGAAGCGCAGACGCATTTCCGGTCGTCGCTTCTCTCCCTCCGAAAAATAGCTATTTTTCGGAGGGAGAGAAGCGACGACCGGAAATGCGTCTGCGCTTCGCAGGCTACGCACAGAGTTAAATTTTCTAAACTAAACAAAACTGGTTCGACATGGACAGGGTTTTTAAGCGAAGAAAACGCTTTTTTTTTAGCTTGTTATCAGTAGTATTTTTATACACTGCGAACCCACCGGATGAAGATGAACTCATTCATTTCTTGAACTATCATAGAAGGGACGTCTGCACACAGGCTAGCGTGTGCATAAGATAGGAGTGTTCATTCCGGAGGTCATATGTGACGCCAGGAATGGGCTCCTGATGGCGTTTTTTATTCTATATGACCTGTATGGGGAGGCTCCGCGCGAAAGGGGTACCTTTTTTAGGCTTCAGGTATACAAAAGAGTAGAGATTTCACTAGCTGAAGTATATGAAAGGGTAGGAAAATGCGTCATTTCGGTCATTAAAAAGGCCCCAAAGAACTAGGCTCAAGATCACGTTACTTATCTTTCCTTGCAAGAAAACATACTTTGCATAGCAAGATTTTATATCTTCTTTCACCATTATTGTTACCTCGGAATCGTTGTAAACATTTCCGGTAAATTGATTTGTTTTATACATGTATTGAAATAACAACAGCCTCTGTATAAACATCTACATACGACATTAGACGATTTATCACTAAATACGCGACTACAATAATTGCATAAATGATGATAAAAACAAAAAAAGATAAAATCAATGAAATCAATACAAAAATTAAATGTAGAAGCAAGGATATTGTTACCTAAAAGCTAACTTTTGAAGTACTGAATTCTTCCATAAGGCTGTTGTGTTGATCAAAAACACTGTTGAATTTCACTGATCCAGTTGCTCGTAATGTTCACGTACCGAATAGTTTGAGTTGAACAGTTAATTCGGGTGATTCTTTTAGCGCTCCTAACTCAGTAGGTAGCTCACTTACTGTACAAAGTTTCCTGGTAAAGACTCACTCGGAAGAGTTCGCTTGTAAATGGGTCTCTCGCATAGTATAGTTCATGAACTATACCACTTCCAAAATGTACTCTTGCTATCTTTTACTGTAGGCTAACCATAAAAAAAAAAGAAAAAAGATAGCTTGCTAATAGCTTTGAGTCGCTTCGAGCTCCTCGGAATGTACTCTGCTAAAGTCCGCTGATCTATTCTACGCATACACTTATATCTTGCGCACGCGCTGAACACGCCAGAGTGCGATTTGTGCCAGAAGGAAAAACCGAGCCCAAATTGTAACTTGGCTGTGCCACAGGCAGCCCAGTAATAATAGAGCTTTGGTTCCGTTCTGATGCAAGTACTTTCGCATCAAATCACGAAACATCTGAATTCTTAAACAAAGGTCAACAATAAACACTATATTATTCCGCTTTCTTTTAAGTAACCGTTAATGTAGCGTGGTAAACGTTCTTGACAACCTGGAGGCGGACACTGGTAGCCGACTGTCATTTTAATCAAGAATACTTCGTTTATAAACTCCTTAGTTAAATTCAGTATTTCAGAAATTCGATGTGAATCTAGAGGTTTGCGGATAGCCTTGCAAGGTTTAAGCTAAGGTGACAAACAAAAGAAGACCTAGGGTGGTTGGTTCTATAGGAACAAGTGCTTTCAGAACTTTCCCACCCGCCAGTTCTAAAACAAAGGATAAAAAAAATGCCCACTTCATATTTTTCAGCTTGCTTTTTACTGGCTTTTGTTGTAGCTTTCTACACTCCTAGGTGTATTATAGTTTAATTCAACACCCGATAGTTTAAATTATTAAAATTGACTAAGATTGTCTGGGCTCCTGCTAAATACATTAATTACTGATATTGTCTTTCAGGTAAACGTTTGACCAATTATTGTGGCCATGATTGTGCAAATTTTGTTTTTAAAGGCTAGTATATCAAGACTCGTCAGAAATTCATAAGCGTTGTTCTTGCGACTTAACCGCCAAGCTTAACTGCACTATAAATTTAATCGTCAAAAAAGCCACCTAACACCCCTGACACAAACGTACCGACTCCTTTGTCGCTTGTCACCTTAACTTCCTCGCGCGTGGCGACTTTCACGCGCGCTCGCCTATTTCGTTCTCCCAACTATCCCTGCGGGAAATCGAGTTTAGAGGAGTTAGGTTTTCCCTTGATAGGAGAAGAAAGTAACCCGCGTACACGGACTCATAAGATCTTCGCTTTTTTATGGATAGAGTACCCCCTTCCCTCCCCATGTATCTGCGGGGCTCATAGAGTAAGTAAGGAATTGGTGCAGAGGATCACTGGTGTACAGAAATTTTAATCTCATAATTGTATGTCGCTTTGCATATGTTTGCATTTAGCTCATGAGTTTAAGCGCAGCTACACAATATTTTCAGTTCTTTAATTTGTTGTTTGATCAGTATTTGGTCAACGCATGGGTAAAGTGATCATTTCCCAAAATTATAACCTGCATACCTTAAGAATTAGAAAAAAAACTCCAACTCCACGTGCGTAGAGGCTTACGGATGACTTAGGTATCGAAAAAGGAAGAGGAACTTGGCTTTTAGAGTACTATCTAGATCTGTACGAAATGGTTCAATTCCTGAACAAAGGATCAGAAAAAAGATGACGACTTCAATTCTTTCCGCTTTTTAGTGGCCTTTGTTGTGATGTTGTCACGTGGTCAAGATACCCTTTCAAGTCAACCCCCAAAAGCAAATTGTTAAGAATAAGTAAGATTTTTGTCTAAGCTTAACTACCGATTACGTTAATTACTAATATTACTTTTAGTTTTGACTTTCCTTGTTTGATAGCCTGCATAGCAGGCGTTGGTTATTTTAGGGCGAAGAGGACAAATATCGACGACGCACACGCGTATTCCCCTCTCGCGGCCTGTACTGTACTACTACTGGTAATAAACAAGAAAACCTTCTTTATGCACTCGTATTTTTTTTTATATTTACAATGGTTACGAAGTTCGTGAAACCTTTTAGCAGCTTTGGACTTAATTGCCGTGCACAGCTGGTAGCATTCCTATGATTCTGATCGAGCATACTGGCCAATGGAAACGTCGCATTCATTCATTCATTCAGTCACAATTTGTGAACTAAAAACAAAACTTGTGCACGGTCAAGGAGTTTCTAACACTTTTGAAAAACTGTAGCAAAGTTTGTTTTCATCAAATTTATTTTTTCTGCTTTCATATCCAATTTCTCTTTTCTATGGAAATTCTTGCGACTTTGACCACAGCTAAAAAGCCGTTTTGCCGTTACTGATCGTTAAACGAAACTATCAAAAACCACTATCAATACTTCCTGTCTTCTTTCCCGTATCTGTTAGCTAAGGAATTCTTAGAGAAAAGTAACAATATCATTTAAAGCGTACAAGATAACTCATAATCTGCCTTATTTATTTTGTCTTTTTCTCGTATACTTGTAAGACGTTGATTTGTCTCATATCTATGTCTTGCTTTTATTTGAGTACACCAGTACAATAATATCGTTTAATTTGAATGTTTTTTTTTCTCCGAGTTCTTGATGAATGATTACACAGAATATAGGTAACTCAGGCTCTAGATTTACTTTGTCTTACTTTGTCTTATTTCATCTAGCCTTTTCAAGAAAGATTTGTCCATCGCAGAGTCTTTTAAGTCTTTCAGTGACCGTTTGATTTGAAATCAATACGGCACTTGGAAGATGCTACAGACATTACTTGGAGTTCGTTTAACATCTTTTCCAGTTCAAGGTACAAAGCTGCCTTAAACACGTCTCCAACATTTGGCGTGACCACTATGCGGAGGGCAAAGAGCTTTGTGTGAGGCATGCGATTAACAAAGTTTGGAATATTATACATATGTGTCTCAAGCTTTTTAACTTCGGTCTTTGCTTCTTCAAATGAATCAGCGTCAAATTCCCACTTCGTCCAGTTTCTGGTTTGAGATGAATAATGATCAATCCCAGCAAATCCTTTGACCTCCGAACTCTCGTGAACATGTTCCAACTTTGCGGAGATAGAAAAGAAGAGTACTCTTACTTTAATGTCGACAGTATCCTCTGTTTTCTTGTGTTCTATATAATTTGGACAAGAAAAGTTTCCAATCGATATTAGTTAATCGTAGTTAAAATATGTACGGGTTTCTACAGGTAATTAGTTTCCTGTCGTTAATCTTCAAAAATGTGTTGTATATTCGGATGACAATAAACTTTAAATTCAATAAACTTTACAGTTTACAGATCAGTGAGTTGCTCCAACCCTGTTTCGTTCTGCTTTCTTTACAAGTCACCTCATAATTTATTGACGTTTTTAACTGCAGACTTTTGAGTGTTGTACAATGTCATAGGAAAAAAACTTAAGCTCCAAGGTTTCCCGTTATTTGATTTAATTCCACACCCAGCACGGAAACCTGGGTGCCAGGTCTGTTTATAATTAGTTTGCAGAAACAAGCAGAAACAAAATGATGCTCTACGGACACTGCGAAGAGCACCGTCTGTCATGTTGGAAGTCAAAGAACTTACGCTTAAGCTCACTCATGTTATGGGAAAGATTCAAGGGCGGATCTAGGGGGAGGGTGCAGTGGTGCTCACCCCCCCCCCCCCACCTGAGATGACCTGCGGTTTTCTAATACAACCGGTATTCTGCCAAAAAAAAAACTATGTGGTTTATTGGTGTTGAAGTAGAGCAAGAGACGAGTGCACCCCCTCTTGAAAAAATCCTGGATCCGCCTCTGAGATTTATTAATAAACTTAGTTTTGAAACATGACTTTTAATTAAACTAAAACGAAAGGCTGCTAGGAGCGAGAAAATCGAATATATATCTCAGTTTTCGTTAATCTTGCTTACCTCTCGTTTTCTGAAGTGACAATTAAGATATTTTCCATGCCAATTTCCCTCGCTTCAACATCGAAATTTACTCCGCCTTGGTCCGAGATCTTCGTATGAGCTTCAGCAACAAGATATTAACCTTTTCGTGCATAAATCTGACNAGTAGTTTGGAGAAAAAAAACAAAACAAAAATAGGCTCTACGGGCACTGGGGAAGGACCCCTTTGTCATGTTGGAAGTCAAAAAACTTACGCGTAAGCTCCCTCATGTTTTGGGGAAGATTCAAGGGCGGATCTAGGGGGGGGGTGCAGTGGGGGCCACCCCCCCCCCCCCACCTGAGATGACCTGCGGTTTTCTAATACAACCGGTATTCTGCCAAAAAAAAAACTATGTGGTTTATTGGTGTTGAAGTAGAGCAAGAGACGAGTGCACCCCCTCTTGAAAAAATCCTGGATCCGCCTCTGAGATTTATTAATAAACTTAGTTTTGAAACATGACTTTTAATTAAACTAAAACGAAAGGCTGCTAGGAGCGAGAGAATCGAATATATATCTCAGTTTTCGTTAATCTTGCTTACCTCTCGTTTTCTGAAGTGACAATTAAGATATTTTCCATGCCAATTTCCCTCGCTTCAACATCGAAATTTACTCCGCCTTGGTCCGAGATCTTCGTATGAGCTTCAGCAACAAGATATTAACCTTTTCGTGCATAAATCTGACAAGGATAAAGAAAACACCTCTCACTTTATCGAAGACTCTTCTTTGTGGCGATACTTTGCCGAGGCAGAAGCGAGTCCCATCAGGACCGAGACTTTGCCTTCAACTTCGACACTCAAGAGGTAGTTACTTAGTTCATTTTATCCGTGACATCTCGATGAGTATGAGCAAAACGCAGAGCTTATGAACTTGGCTTTGTCCAAAGTGTTTTCATCGGCTGGTAGCCTCCACATTTTGGCTGCTATGAACTGGAGACTGGGGTGACGAAACGTCCGCGGTTTGGATCGATATTTTGCAATAAAATTTCTGCTTTCGTTGTCTGTAAATAACATATGTGTTGAATTATTTTGTGCAGCACTTAATGATATTACCGTACTCTCAGGTGTCAAAACAGGAAGACGAAACTTTCGTTCCATCAGAATTAGCAAGCGCTTTCATTAATTTTTAGATCATCACGAAATATCTCAGCTAAGATGTACTTCATATTTTTTCCACTCCCTTTTGAGTATGTATGTGCTGTTAAAGAGGGATCAACCAACAGTCCGAAAATACAGGAAGACGAACGTCAGCTCTACTGGAACAAGTGCTTTCATTTGCCTTCGAAATGTTTTAGTCCTTGAACAAAGGATAAAAAGACACCGACTTTATAATTGTAGCCTTTGTTGTCTTTCGGTCAAAACACTTGAAGACACCCAAAGCTTAATTATCAACTATTAAAAAAATGACTAAGATGTGTTTTTAAAACTTGTCTACGCTTGTCTTCTGAGATACCTAAAATACTGATATTGCCTCAAGTTTCAGGTTGTTTAATATTCGGTGTAACTACGCACAGGCATGCCGCGCAATAAATTTGGATCAAGTACGGCGATCGTGCAATCTTCCTGTATGTGCCTGCATTAGTTTTTGGTACAAATTTAGTTAATGGTTAGTTTCCATTAAAGAAGGTATATAAAAAAACCTCGGCCAGAGATAGGCCATGGGCCACCCATAAAAGACTCGTCAGAAATATGCAAAGGTTTTTTCCGCCTGTTTTAGAGCAGTGTTGTTCTAGCCCTCTAGTTATGTTGTGGATAATCATATCCTTTATCGATTCCATTATTATATTTACAGTCTTCTATTTTCATCGATTAGCTAAGAAAGTCGTAAAGAGAAGGCAAGTAGTGGAGGAGGGATGTTTTACTCCGGTTTTTTGTGGATTTAATTAACTTTTTGAGTGACGTCATGCATCTCATTAAGATAGGATGATGTCATAGTTTAAAATTAATGCCGATGACGTCATGCATTCCATTAAGATAGGATGATGTCATAGTTTATTTTTAGCTGGCAAGGAGCAAATGTCGTCAAAATACCCTAGGGGTTGACGTCATCAAAATTGTTGAGATTATAATCTATAAATAGAAAAGTGTTATAATCAGCTATTTGCTACAGTCTTCTGATTGGCAAATTTTGAACGTGCTATCTTTGCAGATTATACTAACTGAAAAATCTTTACTTCAAAAGAAGGAAAAAGGAGGTTAGGCGAATGCGGAATCGTACTAATTTTTCTCGGGCAAAACATGAAAATGAGGTCGAAGCGCAGCGAAGCGAAAAACTGCCTATCAAGCAAAAATGTCAATGTTTGTTTACTTGACTCTGTAGAAAGTATTGCACAGGGTATAAAAATTCTATAGAAAACAACAGGTGGTTCTAAAGTAAACCCTAACTCTTTTGTTTCTTAAATAAACTCCATTCTAGTAACTAATGAAAAAAAAAAAATCGAAATAAGAGGTGCGATCGCCTAGCAACACTTTTACTTTGTCTTACTTTGTCTTATTTCATCTAGCCTTTTCAAGAAAGATTTGTCCATCGCAGAGTCTTTTAAGTCTTTCAGTGACCGTTTGATTTGAAATCAATACGGCACTTGGAAGATGCTACAGACATTACTTGGAGTTCGTTTAACATCTTTTCCAGTTCAAGGTACACAGCTGCCTTAAACACGTCTCCAACATTCGGCGTGACCACTATGCGGAGGGCAAAGAGCTTTGTGTGAGGCATGCGATTAACAAAGTTTGGAATATTATACATATGTGTCTCAAGCTTTTTAACTTCGGTCATTGCTTCTTCAAATGAATCAGCGTCAAATTCCCACTTCGTCCAGTTTCTGGTTTGAGATGAATAATGATCAATCCCAGCAAATCCTTTGACCTCCGAACTCTCGTGAACATGTTCCAACTTTGCGGAGATAGAAAAGAAGAGTACTCTTACTTTAATGTCGACAGTATCCTCTGTTTTCTTGTGTTCTATATAATTTGGACAAGAAAAGTTTCCAATCGATATTAGTTAATCGTAGTTAAAATATGTACGGGTTTCTACAGGTAATTAGTTTCCTGTCGTTAATCTTCAAAAATGTGTTGTATATTCGGATGACAATAAACTTTAAATTCAATAAACTTTACAGTTTACAGATCAGTGAGTTGCTCCAACCCTGTTTCGTTCTGCTTTCTTTACAAGTCACCTCATAATTTATTGACGTTTTTAACTGCAGACTTTTGAGTGTTGTACAATGTCATAGGAAAAAAACTTAAGCTCCAAGGTTTCCCGTTATTTGATTTAATTCCACACCCAGCACGGAAACCTGGGTGCCAGGTCTGTTTATAATTAGTTTGCAGAAACAAGCAGAAACAAAATGATGCTCTACGGACACTGCGAAGAGCACCGTCTGTCATGTTGGAAGTCAAAGAACTTACGCTTAAGCTCACTCATGTTATGGGAAAGATTCAAGGGCGGATCTAGGGGGAGGGTGCAGTGGTGCTCACCCCCCCCCCCCCCCCGGAGATGACCTGCGGTTTTCTAATACAACCGGTATTCTGCCAAAAAAAAAACTATGTGGTTTATTGGTGTTGAAGTAGAGCAAGAGACGAGTGCACCCCCTCTTGAAAAAATCCTGGATCCGCCTCTGAGATTTATTAATAAACTTAGTTTTGAAACATGACTTTTAATTAAACTAAAACGAAAGGCTGCTAGGAGCGAGAAAATCGAATATATATCTCAGTTTTCGTTAATCTTGCTTACCTCTCGTTTTCTGAAGTGACAATTAAGATATTTTCCATGCCAATTTCCCTCGCTTCAACATCGAAATTTACTCCGCCTTGGTCCGAGATCTTCGTATGAGCTTCAGCAACAAGATATTAACCTTTTCGTGCATAAATCTGACAAGGATAAAGAAAACACCTCTCACTTTATCGAAGACTCTTCTTTGTGGCGATACTTTGCCGAGGCAGAAGCGAGTCCCATCAGGACCGAGACTTTGCCTTCAACTTCGACACTCAAGAGGTAGTTACTTAGTTCATTTTATCCGTGACATCTCGATGAGTATGAGCAAAACGCAGAGCTTATGAACTTGGCTTTGTCCAAAGTGTTTTCATCGGCTGGTAGCCTCCACATTTTGGCTGCTATGAACTAGAGACTGGGGTGACGAAACGTCCGCGGTTTGGATCGATATTTTGCAATAAAATTTCTGCTTTCGTTGTCTGTAAATAACATATGTGTTGAATTATTTTGTGCAGCACTTAATGATATTACCGTACTCTCAGGTGTCAAAACAGGAAGACGAAACTTTCGTTCCATCAGAATTAGCAAGCGCTTTCATTAATTTTTAGATCATCACGAAATATCTCAGCTAAGATGTACTTCATATTTTTTCCACTCCCTTTTGAGTATGTATGTGCTGTTAAAGAGGGATCAACCAACAGTCCGAAAATACAGGAAGACGAACGTCAGCTCTACTGGAACAAGTGCTTTCATTTGCCTTCGAAATGTTTTAGTCCTTGAACAAAGGATAAAAAGACACCGACTTTATAATTGTAGCCTTTGTTGTCTTTCGGTCAAAACACTTGAAGACACCCAAAGCTTAATTATCAACTATTAAAAAAATGACTAAGATGTGTTTTTAAAACTTGTCTACGCTTGTCTTCTGAGATACCTAAAATACTGATATTGCCTCAAGTTTCAGGTTGTTTAATATTCGGTGTAACTACGCACAGGCATGCCGCGCAATAAATTTGGATCAAGTACGGCGATCGTGCAATCTTCCTGTATGTGCCTGCATTAGTTTTTGGTACAAATTTAGTTAATGGTTAGTTTCCATTAAAGAAGGTATATAAAAAAACCTCGGCCAGAGATAGGCCATGGGCCACCCATAAAAGACTCGTCAGAAATATGCAAAGGTTTTTTCCGCCTGTTTTAGAGCAGTGTTGTTCTAGCCCTCTAGTTATGTTGTGGATAATCATATCCTTTATCGATTCCATTATTATATTTACAGTCTTCTATTTTCATCGATTAGCTAAGAAAGTCGTAAAGAGAAGGCAAGTAGTGGAGGAGGGATGTTTTACTCCGGTTTTTTGTGGATTTAATTAACTTTTTGAGTGACGTCATGCATCTCATTAAGATAGGATGATGTCATAGTTTAAAATTAATGCCGATGACGTCATGCATTCCATTAAGATAGGATGATGTCATAGTTTATTTTTAGCTGGCAAGGAGCAAATGTCGTCAAAATACCCTAGGGGTTGACGTCATCAAAATTGTTGAGATTATAATCTATAAATAGAAAAGTGTTATAATCAGCTATTTGCTACAGTCTTCTGATTGGCAAATTTTGAACGTGCTATCTTTGCAGATTATACTAACTGAAAAATCTTTACTTCAAAAGAAGGAAAAAGGAGGTTAGGCGAATGCGGAATCGTACTAATTTTTCTCGGGCAAAACATGAAAATGAGGTCGAAGCGCAGCGAAGCGAAAAACTGCCTATCAAGCAAAAATGTCAATGTTTGTTTACTTGACTCTGTAGAAAGTATTGCACAGGGTATAAAAATTCTATAGAAAACAACAGGTGGTTCTAAAGTAAACCCTAACTCTTTTGTTTCTTAAATAAACTCCATTCTAGTAACTAATGAAAAAAAAAAAATCGAAATAAGAGGTGCGATCGCCTAGCAACACATGTCTTCTTATTTAGCGCTAAAAATGGGATATATAAACAAAACACACACACATACACAAAGTGGAGCTGAAAACTCTCTATTTCAATTTTGACTCACCATTACAAAAGCGTTTTCTCCCTTCTATCTCGAGGAAACGACTAACTGTTGAAGTCTCAGCGATTGATGAGCTTATGGTCTTGTCAATTCACGCGCTGTTAGTCAGTTAATTACGCGGGTTAACAAACCCACAGTTGCATACAAATTGGCTCCACAGTAAAAACCCCAAGGGAAAAACTTGACTTATTATTATAAAAACACAAACAATTAACAACTTACCAAGGATCAATTAAAACACGCGACAAATAAATTGACAAGACACGAGATACAGTTTTAAAAGCTTTATTGAAAGCCAGTGACAAAAAGAGTCAAATACACAGCGATTTGAAATAGATGGAAATTAATAATTTTCTTCGCCCATGGAGTACTTGTAAGGTCTAACTCGAAATTTCTTATGCCGAGTTCGTTTCCTCTGTTTGCCACGAGCTTTATGATCATTCAAATAATTTACAAATTGAATCCGACGCCTTTTGCGCTTCGGGCCTTGTGATGGGGTTTCTACTGTGGGAGGAGGGGTCAGGAAAGAAGGATTTAAGGGCAGTGGTGGGGTGGAGCGTTCTTTTTCAGTTTTTTGTAAGATAACCGCTTGTGTTAATTTAGGTGTTGAGGGGAGTGGAGAATTCTGCCGTTGCTGTCGAAGAATCTTGTGTGCTTTATGTTAAGTCTGGAACAGTGCTGATTATTTCTTCCGGTCGTGTTCTTGTATTTAATTGTTCTTTAAAAGCCAGGTATCTGTTTTGCAACTGGAAGTATCTCTTGGCTTTTTCATCGTCCCGAAGATCGTTTCGAGAAAGCAAGCCATCCATGTTGCCCTGTATTTCTTGCAGAGCTGGAAGAAATGGGACAGGCGAAATATTTTGCTGCTTTAGCTATTTTAAAAGCTCTTGAAGAACATTTTCTTGAAACCCTGCTTTGTTAAAACCTTCTTCACTGGGCAGGACGTTTGTTCTCAGTCGACAATTATCTTGGGTAGTAGTTTTCAGATCAATCAGCAGATAACCAAAAGGTCTTTTTACAGCCTCTTCGGACTGATTTAAAAAGAAATCAGTTTGCCCGGGATACATTTGCTTGGCAAGAGTTAAGATTTGCAATTTGTCTCGTGGATTCTTGAATAGCAATGGCTGTTTAGGCTTATGCTGCGACTACCTTTCCCCTGGTGAAATAGATTCTGCACGATATAAATCACGCTTAGATTGCGATGATGAGAACCACGAGTAAAGAGGTTCACAATTCGCTTGTCTTTACTGGCGTCAATCATTTGATCATCAAACACGATCAAATTCCGTTTGTTCACATCAAAATAGGAATCCTGCTCCAAAGCCGTAGGAATTCCCTTGACTAATTCAATGTGTGGCATGGCGACTAGCATTTCTGTATACACCGGCTGCCATTGTGAATAACACCAAACAATCCTCTCCGGGGGAGGGTAAATTGTCTCTGAAGCTTATGGCAATAGAGATCGAACCCAGGCCGTTTTTCCGGACCCGGTCATTCCGGCAATCATGGAGGTAAAAGGATACTCCAATCAAAACCGCTGACATTTCTGTGAAAACGGAACTGTTTGAAATGGGGTGAGGCCAACATTGCAGTGTTTAGACATCACGTGCCTTTGCATGCTATCCTTTCTACTAAATGATTTTTCGCAAACGGAACAGAACCAACTCCTGTCAACTCCTCAGGAGCAGAATGTAGACTGAGGAAATGGTTGCATGTTGCGCATTGATATAGTTTTGAAGGGTATAAAATTCTATAGTTTTCCTCCACCACCACCACCACCACCACCAGATTTCTATTGTGTTCCTCCAGCACCACCGCCGCCACAATTCTATTGTTTTCCTCCACCACCACCATTACATTTCCGTTGTTTTCCTCCTTCACCACCGCCACCACCACATTTCTATTGTTTTCCCTCCACCACCATTACCACCGCCACCACATTTCTATTGTTTTCCCTCCGCCACCAACACCACCACCACCACCACCGTCACCACGTTTTTATTGTTTTCCTCCACCACAACCACCACCGCCAGCACCGCCACCACCGCCACCACCGACACAACCACATTTTCATTGTTTTCTTCCACCACCACCACCGCCACCACATTTCCATTGTTTTTCCCCACCACCACCACTCCACCACCACATTTACTATTTTTTTCATCCACGACAGTCAATAAAAGACTGCAAACTACGATCATAAGTTCAGTTTGTCGCAATGTCTCAAGTTGTCTAGAACAATCCTGGTTTTCTTCAATTCTTAGCTGTTTGTTCAGCTCATCGGCGACAGTTTCTTTTACGGACAGCCAGTCCACAACAACTACATGCATTAGTGCAAGTCTTCTACAATATACTTAAGGAATACATTCTTATCCCCAACGAAAATAAGCGGAACGTGTTGCCATTAGGATGCTTTAGTAAACCTAGCAGAAACAAATGTCCCTTACAAAACAAAGAAGGGAATCCTTCTACAAGAGTGTGATGGTTTTATTCAAGACCTATTGGTACCTGCTGTTACAAGTCTAGGATTTTTGATGCTATAAAAGAGGAAACAAAACTATAAGTTACTCATTTCTGTCAAGTCTGTCGCGGGTACTCATCAAAATGAAGAGAAAGATAGATTTGGTTGAAGAAGAACACGAGAGTGAACATGAAGAAAGTGAAAGTTCTGGTGATGAAAGCGAGGGTGAAGAACCAAGAATAAAAGATGTTTTGAGTCATCTTTCCCAAGCAGTGTCGGAAAAGCGTGCTTCTGATTTGCTGCATAGTATGGCCGCTTCCAAAGATATTCTTTTCTGGACTCCCAGCGGACAATTACTTCGAAATAAACACACTATTCCCGTCACAAACATCGCCGAGCTAGTTGAGTATGTGTTACTCAGGTAAATTAAGGCATGGGTCCCCAATGATTCAGTCAAAAAGTGATGGGGGGGGGGGTGGTCTATCTCTGAGCACTTAAGCAGTAAATAAATGAGACTTTGCCAGATACATACATGTGAGGTTTCTGTCAATTAGGTGATTTTCAATTATGCAAATGTTGTCACGTGACTCCACAAGGCCAGAAAACAATAAAAAGTCTTTAAACGAAAATGGCAACACTTTTTGTTGTGAGTTATTAAACCAGACTGGTTTAGGACAATGTGTAATGCAAGCATCTACAAAACTGTGCTTGGCCTTTTTTGAATTTTTTACTGTTTTAGAAAATAAACGACTTTTTCAACTAGACCCAGTCCCCCAAAGGATTTGTATCCCATCTTAACGCCTTGGATTTGATATATCTAAAAAAGGCCAAGCACAGAAGTGATATATTAAAAGGTCTTAACATTATGCAACCCGTAAAATGATTGAGAACACACGAAAAAGTGTTGCCGTTTCAAGAACAAGCTTTTTCAGCCGATAGAGGTCACGTGACCTAATTTGCATAATTTTAAAGCACGAAATTGACACAAACTGAAGATGTGGGTAGCTGGCAAAGTTTTATGTCTCTTCATCTAAAGCTCTTAGATATAGACCACCCCCTCAGTTTTGAAGAGAGCAAATTAAGGCAAATTGAGGCCCATGCCTTAATTTACCTGAGTACTCCCCCATAACAATGAGGTTACCAAGCCTCGTGTGCTGAGTACGTTTCTAGATGGACTTACAGAGTTAGGAATCGATAAAGGTTTAATCAAGAACAAAATGTTGTTAAGTGATCTAATAGAAAAGGAAAAAGGCTACCGAAATGTAGAAAATACTTCCGATAACGAGAGTAATAATGAGGAGAGTTCATTGGATATTGAAAATCAGGAGGAGGATGAGGAAGTGGCTTCTGAGAATGGCGTTGAAGCTGAAGGCACCCAAGAGAGCGACAACGACACTAAAAACGATAGTGAGGAAACAGAAAGTAGTAGCCCTGAAACGTCCACCACCTTTCACTCTAAATGTCCCTGTGAACATTGCGAAAACTCTAATGTGTACTCGACATTGATCATGAAATGTCCTAGATGCTTTTGGCACGATAACTACAAGATTTGTCCGATGTACGAACCCAGATCCCCGAGGAGAGAAATTACATCAAAGAGGGCTTTCTTCGGTGTCACGATTGTGTAGCAATGACACACAAAAACTCCAAGACGTTGGAAACCAATTTTCATTCACTGTCTAAAGAGGAGAACGAAGAAGAGGACTAATTTCCACCCTTCCAAATCGCCGTGTATTTGACTCTTTTTGTCACTGGTTTTCAATAAAGCTTTTAAAACTGTATCTCGTGTCTTGTCAATTTATTTGTCGCGTGTTTTAATTGATCTTTGTTAAGTTATTAATTGTTAGTGTTTTTATAATAATAAGTCAAGTTTTTCGCTTGGGGTTTTTACTGTGGAGCCAATTTGTATGCAACTGTGGGCTTGTTAACCCGCGTAATTAACTGACTAACGGCGCGTGAATTGACAAGACCATAAGCTCATCAATCGCTGAGACTTCAATAGCTGGTCATTTCCTCTCGATGATGAGAACCACGAGTAAAGAGGTTCACAATTCGCTTGTCTTTACTGGCGTCAATCATTTGATCATCAAACACGATCAAATTCCGTTTGTTCACATCAAAATAGGAATCCTGCTCCAAAGCCGTAGGAATTCCCTTGACTAATTCAATGTGTGGCATGGCGACTAGCATTTCTGTATACACCGGCTGCCATTGTGAATAACACCAAACAATCCTCTCCGGGGGAGGGTAAATTGTCTCTGAAGCTTATGGCAATAGAGATCGAACCCAGGCCGTTTTTCCGGACCCGGTCATTCCGGCAATCATGGAGGTAAAAGGATACTCCAATCAAAACCGCTGACATTTCTGTGAAAACGGAACTGTTTGAAATGGGGTGAGGCCAACATTGCAGTGTTTAGACATCACGTGCCTTTGCATGCTATCCTTTCTACTAAATGATTTTTCGCAAACGGAACAGAACCAACTCCTGTCAACTCCTCAGGAGCAGAATGTAGACTGAGGAAATGGTTGCATGTTGCGCATTGATATAGTTTTGAAGGGTATAAAATTCTATAGTTTTCCTCCACCACCACCACCACCACCACCAGATTTCTATTGTGTTCCTCCAGCACCACCGCCGCCACAATTCTATTGTTTTCCTCCACCACCACCATTACATTTCCGTTGTTTTCCTCCTTCACCACCGCCACCACCACATTTCTATTGTTTTCCCTCCACCACCATTACCACCGCCACCACATTTCTATTGTTTTCCCTCCGCCACCAACACCACCACCACCACCACCGTCACCACGTTTTTATTGTTTTCCTCCACCACAACCACCACCGCCAGCACCGCCACCACCGCCACCACCGACACAACCACATTTTCATTGTTTTCTTCCACCACCACCACCGCCACCACATTTCCATTGTTTTTCCCCACCACCACCACTCCACCACCACATTTACTATTTTTTTCATCCACGACAGTCAATAAAAGACTGCAAACTACGATCATAAGTTCAGTTTGTCGCAATGTCTCAAGTTGTCTAGAACAATCCTGGTTTTCTTCAATTCTTAGCTGTTTGTTCAGCTCATCGGCGACAGTTTCTTTTACGGACAGCCAGTCCACAACAACTACATGCATTAGTGCAAGTCTTCTACAATATACTTAAGGAATACATTCTTATCCCCAACGAAAATAAGCGGAACGTGTTGCCATTAGGATGCTTTAGTAAACCTAGCAGAAACAAATGTCCCTTACAAAACAAAGAAGGGAATCCTTCTACAAGAGTGTGATGGTTTTATTCAAGACCTATTGGTACCTGCTGTTACAAGTCTAGGATTTTTGATGCTATAAAAGAGGAAACAAAACTATAAGTTACTCATTTCTGTCAAGTCTGTCGCGGGTACTCATCAAAATGAAGAGAAAGATAGATTTGGTTGAAGAAGAACACGAGAGTGAACATGAAGAAAGTGAAAGTTCTGGTGATGAAAGCGAGGGTGAAGAACCAAGAATAAAAGATGTTTTGAGTCATCTTTCCCAAGCAGTGTCGGAAAAGCGTGCTTCTGATTTGCTGCATAGTATGGCCGCTTCCAAAGATATTCTTTTCTGGACTCCCAGCGGACAATTACTTCGAAATAAACACACTATTCCCGTCACAAACATCGCCGAGCTAGTTGAGTATGTGTTACTCAGGTAAATTAAGGCATGGGTCCCCAATGATTCAGTCAAAAAGTGATGGGGGGGGGGGTGGTCTATCTCTGAGCACTTAAGCAGTAAATAAATGAGACTTTGCCAGATACATACATGTGAGGTTTCTGTCAATTAGGTGATTTTCAATTATGCAAATGTTGTCACGTGACTCCACAAGGCCAGAAAACAATAAAAAGTCTTTAAACGAAAATGGCAACACTTTTTGTTGTGAGTTATTAAACCAGACTGGTTTAGGACAATGTGTAATGCAAGCATCTACAAAACTGTGCTTGGCCTTTTTTGAATTTTTTACTGTTTTAGAAAATAAACGACTTTTTCAACTAGAC